CAACTATCACTTCGTGAATAGTGAGAATGAAGAAGTCTTGAAAAAGGGTGTAAATAGCAGAATGAATCAGAAAATGACACATGGACGGAACATTAAATGGAAAAGACTACTGAGGCGTTAATAATGTCATAAGCATTAATTGTGGCGAAAATTCCTTTTTTATGAAGATCCACTTCCCAATTATTTAATTGATAAATAAATGGAAAGTGGGGGGGACTATCTGTATTGGGAAAAAACTGAGTTTATATTAAAGATGACGTGTCATGACACGTGGTTTGGTTAAATGGTCAAAGCGCAACAATTGACTAAGAGGCACGGATAGAGACAGCCACGGGAAGAGGAATTTAAATAGGCACGAGACAAAGTGCAGATACGAGTCTCGTACCAATTCAAGTCATTTACAACCAACGGATTAGAAGGCATTAAAGACAAAGATCTGATGACAGAAAGGAGTCCAAGTTCATTATTAAATACCTGATACGTTAGAAAATTGGTATTTAATAGGAATGATTGTATAACGGCTTATTTAGTATCATTTATTACTCATAATTATACCATTAAAGCTGAGGCTTCATTCCTTTACCTAGAATTACCTATAAAAGGAAGAATTATCATCATTTGTAAGGACACAGAATACTATTGGGAACTCATTGAAATACAAACTTATTTACTATTTTAGCATCATTCTCAAAAGTATTTTATTTTCGTCTCTTGATTATCAGTAACCCGAATTTATTTTTAGCTTTGACCAAAGACCCAAATTTTTGGTTAAACATGTACCCCTCGTTATACTATTGGGCTATCTATACCCCTACTGTCATACTTTGAAACATAAATATCCCTATTTTGGATGGAGTGCCACGTGACAACACCAGATTAAAATGACCCATTTTTTTTACCCGACCCGTTTTTGAAAAAACCCACAACCCGACCCCTATTTTCATTTTTTCCAGTTTTTTTTTTAAATTCAGTTTTTAAAAAACGAAAATATTTTGTTAAAAAACAAAAAATATTTTTTTCTATTTTTACAAATTTGTTTTTCCAGTTTTTACAAAACAAAATTATTTTTAAAAACTGAAAAATGAAAAAAAATATTTTTTAAAAACGAAAATATTTTGTTGAAAATAATTTTTTCAGTTTAAAAAAAAACGAAAATATTTGTTAAAAAACGAAAATATTTTTTTTCTGTTTTACAAAAAAAAAATCAGTTTATACAAATTTGTTTTTTCAGTTTTTACAAAAAGAAAATCTTTAAAAAAACTGGAAAAAAAACATTTTTCAAAAACAAAAATATTTTGTTGGAAATATTTTTCAGTTTTAAAAAACGAAAATATTTTGTTAAAAAAACTTTTTTTTTTCAGTTTTTACAATTTGTTTTGTAAAATCGTTTCAGTATCTACTCAGTTAAAAAAAAATATTTTACAATTTTTTTTTAAGTTTTACAAAAAGAAAATTCTTTAAAAAACTGAAAAATGAAAATATGGTTCGGGTCTTGGGTTTTTTGTAAAACGGGTTGGGTAAAAAAAAAAGAAATGAGTCATTTTAATCTGGTGCTACCACGTGACACTTCATCCAAAATAGAGGTATTTTTGTTCCAAAGTATGTTGGTAGAGATATGGATAACCCAATAATATAACGAGGAGTATAAGTAAATAATATTTGAAAGTAGAGGGGTATATTTGACCCTTTGCCGCAAGTGTAATATTAGTTTAGTTACATAAGGTTTTAGTGAATTGGTTAGTAGTGCTATTCTGTTCTGCTTATTTGCTTAAGAAAAGCATTGTGTTGTATACACAACGTATGCTTCTTTCTTTTATTATATGTGAAGCCCTTTTCTTCAATATAAATTTTTTTGTTGGATAAAGTATGAGAAATACTATTACAGAAATAAACCATGTTTTTATATTACTTCATATATAGTTATTATATTTTGAATTTTAGATGATGATACATGTCTAGTACTACTTTTGTATTTCTTGATGTAAAACCTAAAGTTTAGAAGATATGTCACAATTATTCTAATCATGCCTGAACTCATCAATAGCCTCTTTCTTCTTTTTCCCCTTTCTTCTGTTGAATTTACCTGCCTTGATTCCGTCTATTTTCTGGTTCCTAAGTTGCTGGTCTTTCTGGTCTTTGTTGTTGTTATTGTTCTATTGTTTCTTTTTATCTTAATGAGTCGAAGGTTTATCGGCCTTGATTCCACGTGTCTCTAACAGAGGCGAATACAGAATTTTAATTTGATCAGTTCAACCTTACAGTCGAACACATTACAGTTTTGAAATTATGGTTTCAAAATCTAATATTTATTAAATTTTTAGTGATATTTCACATATATATTAGGGGTGTACAAAGGAAACTGAAAAACCGCACCAACCCGATAATCCGAGTCAAACCGGAAAAAAAATCGACTATGGTTTGGTTTGATTTGGTTTGGTGTTGAAAAAAAACCCCGACCATAATTGGTTTGGTTTGGTCCTAACTAAAGAAAGTCAAACCGAAACCAAACCAACCCGACATTACATATATAGAAATTTTAGATATATTTAATAAATAAATATACTTATTGTGATGTAATTTATAAATATTTCTTAAAAAATTTCATAATTTTATCTTTTAAGGCATTATTTCAAGGTTGGACTTAGTACTTTTGAATACTCCAATAAGTTTTATAGCTAATACTAATGCTAACAAAATACATTCAATTCAATATTACGAACGGGAATGTATTGAATATTTATTTTTGATTTTGCAATAATTTAGATAAAAATGTATAACCTATTTTTATTTTTCTTTTAGCGTTTAATCATTTAATTAATACTCCCTTATTAGTTTATTTATTTTAGCACGACTCAGTACTTCTAGATTATGTTTATTTTTATTATGATTTTTTAATTAGCAATATTTATATTACATAATTTTATCGTCTTTATAGTTGAATATTTTAGGATATTGCCATGACACATCTCATATTTTGTATTATTTTTTTGAAAAATACTTTATATAGTTGTATCTTATTAGGATTAAAGAAATATTTTGAGCATACATTATATGTTTTGTTCTACGAAGATTTTACCGGAAAGAAACCCGAATAACCAGAAAATCCGAGAAAACCGAGATTGAAAAATCTGAGTTTTATTGGTTTTGGTTTGGTCTTTAGATTTAATAACCCGACACAATTGATTTGGTTTGGTAATTATAAAATCTGAACCAACCCGGTCTATGTACACCCCTAACATATATATATATATATATATATATATATATATATATAGAGCAATTTGTCACGATATCATATCCCAACTCCCAAGTTTAAATTTTAGAATCATTCGGGAACGGAAATTTAAACAAACAAACAGAAATTCAGTCTATTTTCTACCTTAAGGCAGGATCAACACAACCATACAGTACTGCATCCACATTTATTTCTATCTATTCATCTTAACTTCCAAAGCACTTGCACTAATACCAAAGAAGAATATACAACAGCAATAACAATGCAGTATAATCTCATAAGTGGGGTATGAGGAAGGTAGTGTGTGCGCAGAACTTATCCTTACCCTGGAGATAGAGAAATTGTTTCCGATAGTCCCTCGGTACAAGAATCTAATCTAGGTGATATACAACACTTCTGCTTTAGGTGATGCACGCTGAAATTTTGTTAGCTCCGTACTCTCGTTTCACATGATTCATCTCCTTGCTCGAGCTCGATTATCATTCTCACAAGTCTGCACCAGATATATCTCCAATTCTTTGATAAGATACTTATCCTCACAGCATCTCGCAAAGACAAATATACCAGAATGGCATCAATTACATTGTCAGGAAGGTTGTTAAGTACATCGCGAGGTATAAATTCAAGGGATCGGAATAGCAGATTTGTGATTCGAAAAGGGAAATAAAAAGAATACAAAGGAGAATCACATTATCTTTTAACTCTTTGGATTCATCTCGATTTTCCATAAGTATGAAAAGGGAAAAGGAAAACTTTTGAGCTTGCCGAAAAAGAATGACCATTAAGATTTTCTATATCACAAAGCTTATCAAGTTTTATACAAGGTAGAACTTTATTGTAATGTTTTTTTTCCTTTTTTAAAATTTTAAGTTCTTGTAAATTTTCAAACTGAAAATTCACTTATAAATATGTTCATTTTTAACAAAATCCATCCGAATAGTTTCTAATTTGTGTTAGAATGTTAGACAATTCAACGACATATTCATTTATTAAATTTAACTATTAGTAATAGTTATAGTTTTTCTTAATCAATCCATTTCACTGAGAAAATATTTTTATTTTCTAAAATATGTTAGAAGCAAACGCTAAAGTTGATTACGATTCGATTCGGCTCAGACTTGAGAGCGATCGTAATTCGTAAGACCCTGCCTCATCATGCTTATATTTCAGGATGTCACGACCTGAACGATACTGAATATCAAAGATCACTTCTGCTTTAGGTGATGCACGCGGAAATGCATTTACAACGATGAGCATATGGTTTGTTCTGTGAAGAACCTCGGATAATGGCAAGGGATCATCATCATTTATCCAGTGCTTAATCAGCATTCTCAATAACGCGGTTGACTTGGCTAACAAAAGCTTGATAAACTGCATCCCAGGCTTTGTGGCTAGATCACCTTCTAACTTAACTTCCAACAATGTCACACTTGAGAAACCTTCCACTTCAAGACATTCTAGAGCGGGAATATCCTCATCATAAACATACACCTAAAAAGGATTACCAAAATCCTCAATTTATAGACAATAAAAAGTATGAAAACAAGAAAGCCAGAAAGAGAATGAAGAGTAAAACGATTAAGAACCTCACTTTCCAAATATTGTAAATACGGGAAACTTCTGATCAGGCAAAGAGTACATGAGGTGACATCCCATTCTTCCAGATAAATTCTAGATAGATTAAGACTTTTGTCGGTGTTGAGATAAAAGGGAAGCTGTATAGGTACTCCACCAGCGGCAAAGAACTAGGAACAACATGTAAAAGTTTATTAGAATGACTCAAATTAAAGCCCAAAAAACGTATATATGAAAATGCATTAGAATGAAGCAAAGAATCACAATTACCTTGAGACTATTGCCATTCAAGTGGAGATGCTCGAGAGCAGAGAAAGGCTCAAAGAACTTGGCAATATTACATTTTCCTATATTCGCAGAAGTCCCACTATCCATAAGAGAAATATTTGCCAGCAGCGGCATATTTTTTAAGCAAATATATCTTATACTGCCACTGAAATCAAAATATCTCAGCATCGCAGCTTTAATTTCAATAACATCTGAAAATTCTAAGTGTGCCAGCACCAATAGCTCGAGCAGTGAGCAATTAGAGATTAAACTTTCAAGCAACTTGGCAGAAACTGTCACGCTGCGTAGTTCAAGGCTAATTAGCCTATCAAATCCTTTGAAAGATGGTGGAGGAATTATAAAACAATGTTGGAGAGTCAGATGCCTCAACTGCACACATTTAAAAAGTGAAGAAGGCAATTTGTATCGGTTAACCGACCAAAGTCTAAGAACAAGATGCTGAATGTTATTCCTAGAGAGGAAATATATCAAGCTGTCAATTATAGGACACGTTTTCAGGTCAATAAAGCATAGGGTAAACTTAGTAATTGGTCCAGCTAGCATGGAGGGTTAAAAGGTGGTAAACAATGTTGGTAAATTCAAATGTTATGTCTCCATTACTTTGACAAGATGCTTGTCCTCATCGCATCTCGTAAAGGTAATCGTATAAGAATCGCGTCAGTTATCTCTCCCGGAAGGTTGCTGAGTATATCAAGAGATAAACTTTGACAACCAAGCTTTTCATCCTTAGGAGGCATCATTAATTAACACTAATCATGTATAAAAATCTGCAGAAAACAAACAATAACACAAATGTAAGTATCTCCGAACTATCTGAACATATATAGCTGCAATTAACATTATCGAATCAAGATATATGCTACACTGAAAGAAGAGAAGAATGGTTGCACTCTAATTGACAACAACAACAACATACACAATATTATCCCTGTTGAATATGACAATATCCCACATCGGTTGGGAAGTAAACTTGGTGGGAATTTTTTCCTATAAAAGGAGACCTAATGTTTAGGATTTAGACACACCTCTCATTTGTCTTCTTATCTTATTAAGGCATTTGTATCTTCTCTCTTTAGTATTATTTCACTTGTATTTTTGGAGTGGAATAAAATATTGGTTGTGTCCGAGGAGTAGGCAAAATTGGCTGAACCTCGTAAATTCTGGTGTTCCTTTTTGTTATTGCTTTATTGTCTTATTTATTATTTGGTGGCTGTCATAATTTTTGGTATAGTAGTTGTGACTTATTCATACTATATAAATTTTGCTTCTGCAACAATTGGTATCAGAGCCAAGGTACTGTCTAAGTATGCTCTGTGGTTGCAGCATAATCTGATCTTCTACATCAGAAAAGATTTATCTTGGTAACTGAGTCAAGGTTCTGTCTGAGTATGCTCTGTGGTTGCTGCTTAGTCTGACCTTCCACATCAGAACGTAAATAATCTTGATTTGTGTCGTCAGCTATTAAATAATATTTGTGTCAAAGATGGGAGACAATAAACAAGAAAAATCTACATCAAGTGTCAACAATACGTCATCATTGCCATCTTCGCTTATGATAAGAATTGTGTCAAATGCGAAATTTGCGGTAGAAATTTTTGACGGATCAGGATATTTTGGGATGTGGCAAGGCGAGGTTCTAGATGTCCTTTTTCAACAAGAGCTAGATCTTGCCATTGAAGAAAAGAAACCAGATGTTATTGGAGAAGAATATTGGAAGATTCTCAACCGTGTTGCTTACGGTACCATTCGATCCTACCTTGCTAGAGAGCAGAAATATCCATACACAAAGGAAACTTCTGCAAGTAAATTATGGAAAGCACTGGAGAATAAATTTTTGAAGAAAAACAGTCAAAATAAATTGTACATGAAGAAGAGATTGTTTCACTTCACCTATGTTCCTGGTACCACAATGAATGAAAATATCACTAGTTTCAATAAGTTGGTCACAGATTTGCAAAATATGGATACAACTTATGATGATGGTGACTTGGCCTTGATGTTGTTGGCGTCACTTCCTGATGAGTACGAGCACCTTGAAACTACTCTACTCCATGGAAATGACGAAGTTTCTCTTAGAGAAGTTTGTTCGGCTTTGTACAGCTATTGTCGCACCTCCTTTTTACCTACAACCCCGAGAAGGAGTGTATAGGGGAGTTTTTTCCAACTTAAAGTGACAATCGAAACAGGATTATTTATTAAAAGATTCAGAGTCGCCACTTGGGATAATTTACGGTGTCCCAAGTCACCGGTTCAAATCCCGAGTTGAGGAAAAGATTGACTCTGTATAACAGTCCGCGAACCAGAAATCCGAGTAAGGAATTCTGTTAACCCGGGAGAAGGTATTAGGCATTCCCGAATTCCGTGGTTCTAGCACGGTTGCTCAACTATCATATTCGGCTTATTTATCTGATTTTAATACATGTTGAAACTGTGTGCAAATTTTAACTGTGTACCGCTTTTATTATTATCATTTTTACTGGGAATTGCAACATCGTAAAAATACATCTCGAACCACGTCACATCAATGCACCCGTGGTTATTGACACATTTCAACTTTGTTGAGATTTGGATTTGGGTCACATAAATGTGCACCCGAGTTTAAGAAGATAACATTATTAAGTACGCGCCTAAAGCGACTAGCGTGTCATTATTTTGGGTAGGGCCGTGAAATTTTGCTAAACGGTCCATCCCGAAGTCTAAGTAATTTTACCAACACGTATGGAGGGCCCTGCATCTTGTGTATCTTTTGTTTATCGAGGCTCGTCTCATTCATTATTATTTTTTTAAAGGAATTTGCAACGTCGTGGAAATGCATCTCGAACCACGTCACAATCAATGTACCCGTGGTTAGCGACACATTTCGACTTTGTTGAGACTTGGATTTGGGTCACATAAATGTGCACCCGAGTTTAAGAGAGTAAATTATTTAAAGCGCGCCGGAAGTGACTTGCGCGTCATTATCTTTTGGGGAAGGCCGTGAAATTCGCTAAATGGCCCGTCCCTAAGTCTAAATATTTTTAAAACAAATATTTATTGAGGGCCCCGCAATTTTGTATTTTTTTTTATTCGGCGAGGCTCATCTCATTCTTATTTTAAAAGGGCAAACCTAAAGCAATCTATAATTTTCTACTTTATTTGTCTCTAAAAAGGGAAAAGTCCTAATTAATTAACATTATTTAGGAGCTATTACTTTGAACCTATGACTTCAAGCTAAGTCAAACTCTCAACGGTTTTGGGGCCTCAGGGCCTGCCCAAGAACGAAATGGCCAACCTGCCTTGACAAATTGTTACGGGTATGAAATCTTGTGCTGTCTGAGAAGGACACTGAAGCCCGAACTGTCCGCTTAGCGAACTGTTATGCCTTTAATTGTTAAATCAGACCCGGTTTTAGCTCGAGTCAAATACACATATACTGAGATGCTACAAATCATTTAACATGCACTCGATAATCATGAAGATTACCTCACTGGCTTATCTATTATGAGTTCCTAATTGTTACTACAAAGGGAAATCCGACGGGGAGCATGATTGGATTTGAGCAACAGTAATTACTAACTCAAACTAACAATATTAAACTAACACTCAATGCTTGAAGGGATCATGAATTTAGAGGTGGACTACTGAAAACTATTAGAATCGCTTATCGCCCTGGCGTAAGTTGATTATTAACTCAATGTCCAATTGCAAAACTACTCCTCATACAGATCCAAATTGCACTACATTGATAACAATAGCTAGACCAAAATAAACTGTTAACTCCGGATTCAACACACTTTTCTAACTAGTTTAACAATACTTAAGCTAACAATCCTAGATTCACCATTCAAAATAGCCCTACTTTTATTACAATAGGCATTCAATCACTATACAGAGAACTGCCTAACATAACAAAAATTATCAAAATAGAACTTTGACAGATATTCAACTTCAGTTTTATTTCATGTTTCCAACAGATGGAGCTACATTCGACATAGTCTCGAAATATGTACTTGGGATTGACAATACAAGAGGAAGAGGAAGAGGATCAGCAGCAGTGGCAATACAACACAGCAGAACAGCAAATACACACTGCGAGTACCAAACAGCAGGTACCAACAACTAGTGACATATGCAACAGACCCAAGCAATAAACCAGAAATCCAGAAGTGTTTAAAGCCCAACAGAATTACCAGAACTGACTCAAAACCAGCCCGAATAAACCCAAAATCCCTAGAATACCAACCAGGGAACCTTTGAGACTCTCACGGTCAGAAATCAAGCTAGAAACATGCAGCTCATCAACTGGAATTCTAATTTTGACTTCAGGAAACTAATGCAACAGTAGGTTTTCTCAAACTTTTCAAAGTCAGACAGTGTGTGCTTATCTTTGGACTTTTCTATTTGTTTTTGACTCTCAACCCTTACTGCCCATTCAAAAGTAAGTCCTCTCAATGTCTCTCTTCAGATTCTTTTTTAGAATTAATCCCCTGTCCCAAAAAAAAACCTCAATTTGTCCTAAGTGACTCTATTTATAACCAAACACTGACCCTGCCCCTCAACTTTCAGAAACACTTTGGGCAGAATTTTTCCACTAATTCTGCCCATCATCTCCTTTTAATTCCACTAATATATGTTTTGTTCCCCACTACACTTGTCTTTTCTTTATTTAAATCCAAATAGGTATGGGCACCTATTTCTTAATCCATTTTCTTTAAACCTTTCCCCCACCATTATGTCTTGTTCCCCATTAGCACTAAACAATTGTATTAGTTTAATAGTATTTTAGTACCCTATTGTCAGCCCACTTAAATTAGCCAATTTTTGAACTTTTCAATCCCCAAACTACCCCCTAATGTCCCTTAAATTGCAACTATAACCAATTCTCCTAAGTTCTGAATGCAACTTTATGACTCACTAATATCTAGTTGACATTATCACACCAACACTGAATTCAAACCAATTGTCAAATTTATTTCAGACCCTAAATAGTAGGATTCTATTCATCAATTGCTTAAGCTTGAATCAAATAGCAACAAAATAAAAGCCAAGGCTATTAATGACTCAGAACACCCTTACAGGGCATGACACAGCAGGTTCAAGTGACAACCAAAATAACAGTTGTGACGAAGCAGTTCGACTGACCAAGCAATTCAGAACATTTCAAATGACCAAACAAATCAAAACAGTGTGATGAACTGAATATACCCACAGGCTCAGTTCTAAGTTCAACTATACCAGCAGGCTCATTTCAACACAACATTTAGGATAGAAATGAAGCAGGATGGGAAACAGACTAGAATGAACCATGAAATCAAAACCAACATTACACTACTATCATGTTAAACTAACACTCAAACCTACCGAACTAATCGACGACGCTTATACAAATTATAACATATAACAATCGATAACAAACAGAAACAATGATGAAATTGGACCAAATAAAAGGTCTGATGAAGAAGGACAGAATCAATCGACAAAAACTGAAAAATCAATAAAGCTACACTTAAACAAAGTAAACTGAACAAACAAACAAAAAAAGGAAACAAATAGGAAAAGGGAAAATACCTCAAAAAAACTGGGCGACCCTGACTTGGACTCTGACTCGGACCTTTAATTGAGGTCGAACGGACCTTAATCGAGTGTTCTCAACTGAGAACACTTCGACTAAGGTCCACTAGACACCCAACTTTCTTTAATTGGGACAAATTTCAGCCTTTGGTTTTCTAGGGTTCTTAGGGGTTCAATATGGGGTTCG